ACTCCTTTTTAAGTCAAGAGCTGCAGGATGGGTGTACATTGAAAGCACTTGGTGAGAAAGATAATGATTTTATTTTCCATCCCTTAGTTCCCATTAAAGTTGCTCTCGGGCGCTGAGTACTTGGACAAAATCCAGAGTAAAAGGAGAGATTATTAGAAATATATGTTTTCATGTTCTTCTCCTACATAGATATTAGCTCAACAAGTATTATTTTGAGTTAAATAATTGGAAGCCTGAAGCATTCTAACACCAATCTTCAGGGCAGTATCCCAGCCCTATAAAAGTGTACAAATGCTAAGTACTGACACCATAATACAACTGATGTGAAGAAGGCCACAAAGTGTCACCAGCCTTGTGCTTAATGAAAGGAGAAGAGAAAAAGGTTTGGGTTTCTAGTATCTCTGAAATTCTTCAGAATGGGGAAAAGATGACATAATTCTTCAGAGTCTAGTTTTTTAAAGAAAGCAGAGTCAATGATTAATATTTTATGGCAAGGAAAGGCAAAATAAATCTCAAAAACAGATATGCTAAAGTACTGTATATAAAGAAAAAACTCTTGTTTTTAAAAAGAAAGCATAAGAAATGGTATATAACAATAAATGGAACATTTTAATGTAATGTTTTCTGTTAGGTCTGTGCTCATAATATCTTTGGCAGATAGTAGGGAATTCTCAGTTTTCACTATTTGCAGCCCTTTCTTCTTTATGGAACATTTTATCAAAGGCCTAAAGTTATAATAATTGCTTGAAACCATATGTTACACTGGCTTATATGAAGCTAGCCAAATGTGGGGTTCATCTGACCCAAACTGGAAGAATCCCCCTGGATTTAATAATCCAGTTTATGAAATTTTGATTTTAATAAATATTGGCAGTGTTATAATCCAAAGTCCATTTGCTGTGGATTCAGAATGCCCAGAATACTTTATGACAACTTTTCTAATCTTATATAGAAAATACAAAAACTTTTTAAAAGAAGATAAAAACTAATCCAGATAAGTTGGTGTGTGACAGCAGAGAAACTATCTAGAATGTATAACGGGACTTCAAATATATATTGAAAATGTGAACATATGAAGGGACATTTTATCATGCTTAGTGGGCATATAAAAAAGCTAAAAAAATGGATTCAAATACATACTTTGATACTGCAGATTTTAAAGATTAATTATTCAGTTGAAGCCAAAAACCTGGGTCATATATAAATAAGACAGGAAAATGTAGAAGTAGTGTTTTGGGAGGAAGACATGGAAAATTAGTGAGTGTCCCTTCCGTAATGTCATTTGAAGGATAATACAGATAATACAAGAATTATACAGCAAGAGACAAAGGTACGAAAATAAGACATAAAATGAGATGCAAAGACAATAATTCAAACTGTTTAAAGAGAAATTAATTAATTAAAAGAAAATACGAAGAGTTAAAACATATCAAAACTTCATTATTAATGATAATGTTAATTTAGTCCTCTTAAATTAATACAGATATAATAAATAGATCTCTGAGTTATTGAGAATTACACATCCCTGTAAAATATTTTTTTCTGGATTGTGTTTTGCAGCACCCCTATGAAATACAAAGTGAGACTCAAATAATGGTTGAGCTATGAGCTTCTTGGCTGTTTTCTTGAATTGCCCACTTTCAGGATTTTCTTGATTTTTAATGCAGTTTCCATTGTGTCAGTACAAGTAATCTTTTCACTATCTCCACAATACACTGAACTGGGAAGCTTTGAATAGTAATAAGATTCCATCAGTTCAGTAGAATGTTTACTAACTAGAAAATGTTGCTTTCCTCTTGGGAGCACTTGCACTGTCAGCCTCTCTGTGCTTCTAGTTAGAATAGTAATTTTCCATTTATTCATATCTCTGAATAAGCAATGAAAGGAACACATCTAGACTAGCTGTACTGAACTGATGAATGCATGACAGAAATGAAATGATTGGTTCCCTAGAGTCTGCAGAAGTCATTAAAATGTAATGTTACCTTCTTAAGGTACCACCTTACAAACCGGTAATTAATCTGTTGTCAGTATATCTAACTTCCTCTTTATCAGCTTACATTTCTATGATTCTTCAAATGATCAGAATTTATATTTGTTTGTACTAACAATAAATATCAGAGGGATTCAGTTAAATCATGCTGGTGTCATAATAGAGCAGGGAATATAGCATAAACCCAGCAAACATTATTAAGCCTTCAGACATGTCCTTAGATGCATGCCATATTGCTTTTGTACTTCAATAAACATTTATTAAATAACAGGAATGAGAAAGCAAAACAAGGGTATTATCTTTTTATTATCTTAAACATCACTAGAAAAAAAATTATGGGTATTTGCATCATATGAGCAATGCCGAGGGGAAAAAAAAAAGGGGGGGGGGTGGATGGAAGATAGATGAATAATAGGCAGAAACCTCAGCAAATTATCCTCTGAGAATTGGGCATTTTGTGAATGGCCAGACACATTATGGCAGCCATTTTATGAATAAGCAATTAGCTAAAATGTTAGAGTTCCTAAGTCCCAAAGGGTTGCTTATTCTAAAATAAACCAGCCTATTTCAGAAAGGACATCCTGATCAACCAGGAAGCCTAATAGCTTTCTCCCAAAACAAAGACTTCTATTTCTTAAGTCCATCCTTTTGTCGCATTTTTGGAGACAGGAAGTTACATTTTGTCTCCAGTAGCTGCTCACAGAATGACAGTATTCCATCAAGGTCCTTTAGAGTCATTAGAACAGTGGTTCTCAATCTTCCTAATGCCGCGACCCCCAACCATGTGGTCGTAAGTCGAGGACTACCTGTATTTCCCTGTGGGTGGGGCAGGAGGAGGCACGCACGCTCCGCCTCCTCTCTTGCAGCTGGAGCACATGCTGGGCAGACCAAGGGTGCACGTAGGCCGTCGCCCAGCAACCGCTTCGGCCCGGGAGTGCTGCGCATGTGTGGTGCCGCCCCCTGTGCTGGCTTAGCTGGCAAGCAGCAGTAACAGCGCAGGCCGACCACCGGCTGGGCCACCAGCTGGCCCAGCCCAAGGGAGGTAAGGCACCCGCCGGGCCCCACACACGCCAGCAACCCTCCCTGCGCCCGCCGCTGCCCCACTAGCCTTACCTTGGCCATCGCACATTCGGTGAGGCAGCAGGCAGGCCCAGGCGCTCCTGGGCGACCATGGCACGCGGCAGCGAGGGCGCAGGGCGACCACTGGCTGGGCCACCAGCTGGCCCAGCCCAAGGGAGGTAAGCCACCTGCCGGGCCCCACACATGCCAGCAACCCTCCTGTGCCCGCCGGCCTCCCAACTCCCACCCCTGCCCCTCTTTTACTTACATTTAGTAGTTGCTCAGCAGGGAGGGGTGGAAACGTCCAGAAAGCTTGCCTTAGCTGCAGACAATTTGCAGCACTGTTTGCAGACTGGGACTTTTGGCGGGCTCAGCAGGGCAGAGACAGCTTGGACAATTCCTATTGGCTTTCGAAAGCCAATAGAATTAGACTCTATTCAAAAGAGTCTATTCTATTGGCTTTCGAAAGCCAATAGATTCTATTGGCTTTCGAACGCCAATAGAATAGAGTCTCTTGAATAGAGTCTATTCTATTGGCTTTCAAAAGCCAATACTGTAGAATAAGAGGGAGTAGCACAGCTAAGGAAAAGGGGGGAAAATGGCAGACTGCGTTGTTTGGTGACCCCCATGAAATGGTCGTTTGACCCTAAATGGGGTCGTGACCCATATGTTGAGAACCGCTGCATTAGAAGGATTCTTCAGTGCTTGCAAGCAAAGAGGCATATCATTTGTGAAATATAAAGTCAGTCTTGAGAATTTAGTGATAATATTCATGCCAATATTCATGGCTCCAGAAAGATCTCTAGTGATCTTGATTTTGAAGACCAACAATTTAAAGTTTCACGCAAAACATTTGGAGAGCTATAGGATGACTTAAATCAGCCCAGCACAAAGTCAGGGTATAAACATAGCCACCTCACTATTTGAAAAGAATCTGGTATTTCATAAGATGCTAAGTGATTAAATTCTTAGGTTTGTTGATGCAGTTATGAATATCTTTTGCCCTCTGATTTCCAAGTCGCTAAAATTATTTTTAATTCTTCTGTCTTTTAATTCTTCTCTGTGAAACTACAGAGAAAAATCACAGCATTTCTTCTCAGTTTGTTACAGAGTGGTTACAGTATCCAACTGCTCTTCATTTCAGTGAGATCTACTGACGATGCTAATTGCCATCAAGACAAACAAACCTTAGTGGAGGTTATTTTGTTCCTCCCAAGTTGGTTCCAGACCTACAAATTCCAATGATGTCAGCCCAATCTGAGGGCTGTTTTACCAGGAATAGAACCAAAGCTGAAAAGCTCCTTCTCTGGCTTGTGGACATTCTGTTTCTTTATTGCCTGAGCTTTTGTTTAATTCACCTCCCAGTTTCTGGGTATCAATAAGTCCATTCACTTCACCTAGTTTTACTGAATCTTATCAATAAAACTAACCTTATACTTTCTAATACAAAACCGTTGAGAGTTGAATTCAGAAAGCATTCACTTTGATGTCTCATTAACATAAACAGGAATAACCCTGAGATTATTTTGAAACTTTCTGGAATTTATTTCTAGCAAACCTTCCTATGTAACTAGATAAGTAGTCCAGTTACATGTAGTTTGCTTTAAAGAAAATTGATGGAATTATATCAGAAGTAAAAAATCTTTTCTATCTTGTATGGTTGTAACCAAGCTATGGAAGCCTGTTGTTCCCCTTGCTGTACAATATGATTCCTTGACTTGCAGAATGTTTAGGAATGGTGCAAAATACATCACAGGGGTCTGAAAATGGAGAGGGAAGTTAATCTAAATTTTGTCCTCCCTAATATAAATGGGGAAATGAGTTAGGTTCTGTGTTATTGAATGAAGGAATTATACTGCAGAATGTTTGTGATTTGACATGTATTTGCGTTTCGTGCGTCTATTAAATCTCTACACATTTGAGATCCTGCATTTCTTTTATGTTTTAGGAGAGCCAGAATTTAAATATGTTGGCAACATGCATGGAAATGAAGCTGTTGGAAGAGAACTTCTTATCTTCTTGGCTCAATACTTGTGCAATGAATATCAGAAGGGAAATGAGACTATCATTAATTTGATCCATAGTACACGTATCCACATCATGCCGTCTCTGAATCCAGATGGCTTTGAGAAGGCAGCGTCACAGGTATGTGCGTCATAACTCCAAAAGCAAATATTTGCATTTGTATGACTTACTTTAAAAAGACTGACACATGATTACATTTTAATGAAAGAAGCCTTTGAGGCAGGACTAGGGCATGGTGTTTTGATCTGAATTTCTTCAGCATGAATGCAAAGAAAAAGAATAACCTTCTCTCAGAAATCTATCCTCTTCATTCCACCTGTGTAACAGTACCATATGCACTTGGAATGTTCTTTGATGGAAAATTGCTTACCCAACATTACTTTTTGGTGGCTTTTGCAGTGCAAATGTAATGTGTATCAGAGGCAAAAAATCATAGTCTTCCAGAAATAGACTATAAGTTCCCATCATCCATATCTGTTGGTCATGCTAGCTGGAATAGATGGTAGTTTAAATCCAGCATTTGGATATTGTACAGATAGGCCCTTGGCTTATGGCCACAAAAAGGATTGGAACTTTCATCAAATGTTCCAAATATTCCATTGACTCAGAGATGGTGCAATGATCAAAAGTGGAAGGACTGGTATTAATTCAGTTTTTGTAACATTGAACAATCATTAAACAAATGGTTGTAAACTTCTGGATTTGTTGCGTGACATATATATTGAGTTTACATGATTGTAACTGATTTGTAATCCATATTGTGCTTTTGATCTACGCTCCCTGTGTGACCCTTGACATTCTATATGTAATGTAGCCAATGGAATGCTTGTATACTAGCCAGCACTCTTTCTGTTCCAAATACATTATGCTAATAATCCACATTAATCTAAAATTACTTTAGATTAATGAATCTCAGCTTTCATTTTATATACTAAAACAAAATTTAACATGTTGATTAGAAATGTTCAGTATCAGAGCTCCCCCAGGTGGCTATGAATAAATTTGTACATTTAAATAGCTTTGCCCCCAAATAATAAATTTTTGTATTTGCTCTGAAGTTTTTATTTTGGAGCTCAGTATTGTTTCATTTGATCAACTGATACTTGATTGTTTTATTTGCCTTGTGCTGAGTCATTATTTCTAAATTTCAGGCACTCTTTTATAGGGTCAGTCAATTCAGCGTAGTGATTAAGGCACCAGGCTAGAACCGGAGAGACTGGGAGTTCTGTTTCTGCCCTAGGCATAAAACAAGCTGAGTAACCTTGGACTACTCTCTCTCTCTCCCTCTCCCTCTCTCTCTCCCTCTCCCCCTCCCTCCCTCTCTCTCTCCCCCTCCCTCCTCTCCCTCTCCCTCTCCCCCTCCCTCCCTCCCTCCCTCCCTCTCCCCCTCTCCCCCTCCCTCCCTCCCTCCCTCCCTCCCTCTCTCTCCTATTTAGAAGCAGAAACATTTAAATTTAAAGGTAGCCATATTGAACTTATTTATTTTATCTATTTTCTTATTTATTTGAAATTTATTTGCCACCCAACTCATATCCAATGATGCTGGCATTAAAAACGTTAAACTTATCTTCCATGTTGAAACATAATTAATACGTAGGATGGTATTTACATTTGATCGTATATACAGTAGAGCCACTAAAATTAGTGAGATGCCAGTAAGTCATTATTAACTTAATTCCATTTATTTCAGTGTGTCTTTTCTAAGCATGGCAGAATGAGAATTGAGTATGTTTGTATTATTCAGCCTTCAGAATTGGTATATCAGTAAGGACCCGGTATGAGGATTGAAAATAACTGGCATACGTTTCTAGTATTTGAACTTCTCCTGAGCATACATGATTGAACTAAGTGGGCCATTTCTCTAAATTCATCTTGACAGTTCATAATAAAATGTCATGTTGTTTTATAATATTTTCTTCTTCTTTTTAGCCAGGTGAACTCAAAGATTGGTTTGTTGGTCGAAGTAATGCACAGGGAATAGATCTAAATCGAAATTTCCCTGATCTGGATAGAATTGTCTATGTCAACGAGAGAGAAGGTGGTCCAAATAATCATTTGCTGAAAAATATGAAAAAAGCTGTGGACCAAAATCTAAAGGTATAAAATATTTCATTCAAAATATCTCATACTTTGAGGGATTGCTGCCTTCACCTTCAAGAACAGCATCCCCCAGAAATACATCTGGCACCAACTCCCTTGAGGTTCTGGAAGTCCTTGCAGGGGTTCTCAACCTTGGCAACTTTAAGACTTGTGGACTTCAACTCCCAGAATTCCTCAGCCAGCAAAGCTGGCTGAGGAATTCTAGGAGTTGAAGTCCACAAGTCTTAAAGTTGCCAAGGTTGAGAACCCCTGCCTTAAGGCCTGGCTTTGTTCCCAAAGCTGGGGTTAATGTGTTTGTGGGGGTTCGGTCATGTTTTTATTAATTGGTTGTTTTTAGTTTTATGATTTTGATTGTTTTCATTGCATAATTAGATGTTGTAAGTTGCTCGATCTGTATTTTGGAGTGACTGGCTAACAACAACAATAATTATAATAATGTGCTGAACACACTTTAACTTTTTGCAAAGTTCTTCATGCAAATAAATGAGAAGAACTCCTTTTCAAATTTTGAGAATTGTGATGATTTGATGAAATGTGATAAAGGAGGTTTGGTTGCACTTTACCCCATAACTGGAAAACTTGTACTGTGCATGATAGTCACATGGAAGTGTCCTTTAGACTATAAAATGATAAATAGTAGATCTGTCCAAGACTTTACAAAAAAACATTAACAGAGATTCATTTTAGAATAAATTTCTTCTGTTTGGAGTGCCTAGTTTGGAAAAACCTGGAGTCCTCTCATTGATAGTTTGGGAAGCTATGGGAATGCTGGTTTTTGCCACATTCCTTTGAGGGAAATTTTTCAACTGTTATCCTAATCTTTAGAAGAAAGATTCCTTTTGAGTACTTTATATAATAACAGTACAATAAGTACTACATACTAAAGCCCACAATCCTTTTTTATTTCTTTACCAATTTTGTCTCTTTTCCATGCAAGTGTTTGAAAAGTACATACTGTAGCCTAAATATATTATCTTTTTTTTTATTAAAAGTTTTTACAATTTTACAATAAAATCCCTCTCCCACTACCTCCCTACCCTCCCAAAAACCCTCCCCCTCTTCCCAGAGCTGAATACAGGGTTAACTAGAACTAAGAATACAAAACATTTAAACTTAAATAAACCTCAAACAAAAGTTACATTTAAAAAAATCCAATATATATATATAATAAAAAGTCCAATGTATATATGTAATAAAAAATACTTATTATCTTAAACTTTAAACTTTAAACATAAATTATTCAAAAGCTAAATAATATCTTTTAATATCATACTTATACTGTATAAAGTTTATCCATCTTTTCCATACCAAGAGATATTTCTCTTGCGATTGATCTTTCAAATAAGCCAAAATTTTTGCCATTTCAGATAAATAAGAAACTTTAAAAAACCATTCCTCCAAAGTAGGCAAAAATTCCTTCTTCCAATATTGTCCTGTAAACAACCTTGCCGCTGTAATTAAATTTAACATTAAAATAATTTCTTTGTCATCACAATCAACAATAATACCTAACAAAAACAATTGTGGAATGAATTTTATCCTTCTCTTAAAAAATTTTTGAATATTCCACAATATCTTTATCCAAAAAGCTTTTATACTTTTACATGACCACCTTATGCATATTTAAAATAAAATATTCCTTTAAATACTCTTTAAGTTTCTGAACATTCATTTCTTGTCTAAATAAATTCTCATTCAGCCTCCAAGATCTTCTCTCCTCTTTTTCCATGGCTAACTCCGTCCACACAGGACTATGATCTGTCAATGTCCTTGGAAAAATCTTTATATTCTTTACCCTAAAATATAAATCCGTTGTGATAAAAAAAAAAATCCAATAAAGTCAATTTTTGATGTAAAAGCCTGTAAGATTGTTCTTGTTGTTAATTTGGAGCATACAAACCCACTATAAGTATTTTCCTACCATCCATTCCCACTTCAATCATTACATATCTCCCTTGAGGGTCAGAATCTAGTGAAAAAGCTGATAATTTTTGCTTAACATAAATGACTACACCCCCTTTTTTCCCAGAAGCAAAGGATACAAAATGATATCCCAATCGAGCATTAACTAAATATTTTTGATCTTTAAAAATAATATGGGTTTCCTGCAAACAGATAATATCATTATTATGTTGCTTCAAATAATGAAATATTTTCTTCCTTTTCTGTGAAGAATTAAGGCCATTAACATTCCAGGTCAGGAGCTTTGCCATCTCCTCCATCCATTAGCCTAGAGAAGACTGCTTGGAGATCTACCATCGAAGATTGCACCAAAAATCTCTTAGGTCTTGCTCCTCCCACAGGCTCAGAAACAAATTCTTGTGGAACTTCTTTAACCTCCTTCTTCTGTTGTTCCTTTTCCTTACGTTTATGTGCTACTCGAGTCATTCTCTGCTCCTTCATCTCAGCTTGTTGGTACCACTCAGACTGTATTTTTCCAGCTTTCATCAATACAACTTCTTCAGACTGCTGTTCTACCTCCTTTTCTTCCAAAACTTTCAACATTATAGGTGGTGATGAGCGCGCTCCCAGGACCGAAGTATAAAACTCTCTTGCTTTGAAAACAGTATTAAGTCTATAACGTGTCCCTGCGTGACTCACCACAATTCCTGTCGGAATATCCCATCTAAATGGCATCTGCCTCTTTTTAAGTTCATCTGCTAAAAAAGCAAACTCTTTTCTTCTTCTTAGAATTTTGGATGGGATCTCCTTTAAAATTATTACATCTTGTGCAGCAATCTGAAATCTCTTATTATAAAAAGCTTGTATAATTTCATTGCGTAAAGATCTTTTCCCAAAATAAATTACCACATCTCTTGGCAAATTTCTCTATTTTGCCACCCAAGAATTAACTCTAAATATTTTTTCAATTTCTCCAAGTATTTCCTCCTTTTCTCTATCCAAAATCACAGCAAAGTCATTTGCCACCATATCTCTCAAGTTTTCTTGCATATCTTCCCTCAAGCCTCTGATTCTTAAAGCAAACTCCATCTCTCTATATTGAAACATAACAATTTCATCTTGTGAAGTTTCCATCTTTTTTTCCATTCCTTCAAATTTTTCCTCCAATAAATCCACTTTATCCGCTACTTCTTCAACACGAAAATCCAACTTTTCAACAACAGAAGCAAGTCCTTTTAAGGCCAGAACTATATCTTGCCTCAGAATATTATTATTCTCTACTAAGATCTCCTTCACTTCTCCTCTAATTTGAGATATAACATTTCCCATAACATCTTGCAAATCTTTTACCGTGAGTGGTTGTATAGGAGAAGAAGGTGGTGGTGATTTAGATTTAGGTTGTTGCTCTGGTAGTATCGCGGAGAAGAAGCCACCTTAGGTACTGTGGAAATTACTTGACGCTTTGAAGCCATTTTAAACAAAAAAAAAATTTTCTTCTTTCCTCCTTCTTAAAAAAAAAAAAAGTACAAAAAAATCCCAAGAAGAAATGAAAAAATAAACAAAAGAGAGGGAAAATAACTAAATACAAATCTCTTTCAGAAAACCTAATAATAAAAAGCAAAAAATGAAAAAAGAAAAAGTAACAAAGTAACCAAACGTTCCGTTTCCTTTCAGGCACTCAAAAAAAAAAAAAAAACCTCGCACCGCCATTTTACTTTCCCTCTCAACAAAAATAAAAATAAAAAATAAAAATAAATCTTTAAAATTAAAGTCCAAATAAATCCAAAAAGTAAAATTCCCCGATCAGCTTTGTCCGCTTTTTTTTAAAATAACTCACCAGTTCTCTTTAATCGCGGAGGTGGGAGCGGCGTCTTGCTTTGTCCCGAACGACAAGGAACAAAGACAGCTGAGAAGCGGAGATACCCTGAACTCCGTGGGAGCACTCTTTTTGCCCCCCCAAAAAACTTTTTGGGGGTTTCAGAGGCTCTACCACTATTCAGGGTAGGACTCCCCTCCTTCCTTTAGCCCAGGAAGGAGGTTTTAAACAGCGGAACAGCTGATGTCTGCTGTTCTCGGCGGTTTTAACGCTATCTCAGAAGGACGGCTAAAGAATAGCCGCCATCGGCATTGCTACACCATCGGAAGCCCCCCCATCTTTATTATTAACCTCTTATTAATATTAATAGGGCGACGGGAGGCGCCTAAATATATTATCTCATAATTTTTATTTCCACTTTCATTTTTTTTAATCAGTCATTTTTGGAAAATTCTATATGGCCTCTCTAGTAGGCAAATAGTGTTTTTTAAAAAATCAGTTCATGGGTATCTGAAAATGTTAATAACTCAATTGTGGAGTTACTAATCCATCAGGGTAATATTTCACAGTATATTTTTTCCAGAAGTAGTGTTTCTTTGCCAAGTTGCTTCTCTTCTTTTCTGGAACAGATTTTAAAGATGGAAATGCTGTAATGGGTGGGTAACAATAAACCTCTTATTATGGTAATAAAAGTAGTGCTGTTGTTACAAATATCTGTCATCAAATCTGATCATAAGGTGCTCTGGGCAAATGGCCAGACCTGTTTTTAATAACATCAAAAGCAAGATGAAAACTAAAGCTTGAACAAAACTGGATAAAAATTTGCAGGAAGAAGCAACACAAAGATTTGCAACTTGAGTTCTTTTCTTGAATAACTATATTTAGAAAGCAGGAAACATTTTATTACTGGATTAGGTCCCACTAGTCACTTAGATGAAGGAGAGACTGGCAAGTAGGCAAGTCAAGTTTTTCCCTATAGCAGCAGTCCCCAACACTTGCAACTTGGTGGCCCAATTGTGGGGGCAGAGGGGAACTGGGCCAGCATACATTCGTGCAACTTGACTTGCATTAGTGGATCAGTGTGTATGCGTGTGATTGCCCACCAGCCCACTGCTCATGCAAACTGAGCTGGGTGCATGAGCTCTGGCCCACCACTTATATGGCCCAGTTTCCTTCTGCCCCTCCCCCCCCAACCAGGCCTCCAAGTGGCAAAGAAGTTGGGGACCCTTGCCCTATAGTATATATACTAGGCTCCCTTCTCTTTTCCATAGAAAAACTAAATGAATTTTTGGGGTACAATAATATTGTGGTAGAAGACTATAATAGCTTTTAAAAATAATTTTGTACTGTTAAATAAAAAAAACCTATAGCTAAACACAACAGTCAATATTAAAACAGCAATAATAATAGAAAAAAATAGGAAAATGACTATGCGAAGAGCTAAACATTTGAGCGTATTAATCAAACTCTGCTTGCTTGCCCCATCATTGCAAACAACAAAGTCTTACTTCTAACTCTTGCAGCTTTGACAGAATTCTATAAAAAGAATTATTATAGAGTACTTTACTATGGAGTGCCACTGGTTAAAGCATCAGGCTAGGAACTAGGAGACTGTGAGTTCTTATCCCACTTTAGGCACAAAGCTAGATGGGTGATTTTGGGCTACTCACTTTCTTTCAGCCTTAGGAAGGTGGCAATGGCAAACACCTTTGACAAACCTTGACAAGAAAACTACAGAGACATGTCCAGGCAGTCCCCCAGAATCAGGTACAATTGAACAGAAGGAAAAAAAAAATTGTTATGAGAATACCTTGCAATAAATAGGCATTATAAGCAAACAAGAAAAAACTAGGCAGGAAGAGCTACAGAAGAAAGCAATATGAAATATTAAGCAACATAAAACCACTTAAGTCTTCCCATAATTATAACCCCTGGGCCACCTGATGAAATACGTGCCATAGAAATCCCATTTACAGAAAGGATGTGTTCCACAGAAGTCTCTGTCTGAGCTTACAATGATCACATGTAGAGCAAGACATCGTCTGTGAAGTCAACCAGAAAAAGCTGGAATATGACTCATTTGCCCTTACTTGCCCTTACTTCTCTTATTTAATACAAAATGGGATTTGAAACAACTAACTTAGTTGATCAGTGTTGCCCATTTCACATCTTGGTGCTATTCAAATATATTCGGACTCCAGCTGCCACCAGCAAGTGCAGGGAGTGAGGCATTTTGTAAGAGAGGAAAAAGAGTTGAGTGTCTTATTATTCCTCTGCTCCCTTCTTCTTCCCTTTATTACCTTTGTACCAAATAGAGTCAAAATGGGAATTTACCATAAATGGTAAGAAATGTCAGGATGGGAGACAAATGAGAAAGGGAAGAATGATCTTCGAGATGTTCACAAATGTTGTGAACCATTTGACTGCAGCTTGTTATGTGACAGTAGAGAAGATTGACCATTATGCCATGTGATGAGATGAGATGGATCACAACAACATCTGAATAAAGAACCTTCCATAGTGACACCTTCTTTCATTAGGGTGACTTTGTTAAGAAAGAAGATGGTTTCTGATATTTTGGTGGCTTGGTGGACCTTATAATTTGTGCCTTCCCTCCCTCCCTCCGAATCTACTTTTTGGACATCACACTGAATTTCTGGTTTCTGACTCACTTCAGCCCTAGGATTCTTCTCCAAAATGTATAAGTCCTTCTTTTTTGCTAGTACTTAAATATTTATTGGAAATCTGGATATCTGGCAACTATCAGATTTTGCCAAGATACAGAAACTGTGTGTGTATGTGTGAGAGCAGAATATGATTATAGTGTCAACACTGCTAACATTGGATGTTCTTGCTTTGACAACAGATGGAAATGTAGCCATCTTTTCTCTGTCGCTTTTAGAGTTTGTTGACGCTGGGAAGGGAATGCGGATGAGAGTCCAGTTAGTCATGACAATAATAACTCAGCTATGGGAACCCAAGGTTATTAAGTCCAGAGTTGATAGAAATTTGGCAGGCAGGAAAGATAGGAAGAATGCCTGCAATTCAAGTTAATTGGGGAATGTGATTTATGACTGCTAATTGGAGGAGGGAACTGTGCTTTGCTACTTTGTGCCAGGGGAGGGGAATTCAGTTTTTGGCTTCAATTATGTAATGCCAATACTTTGTTTCTCAAATAAAAGATTCTTTGAGGAAAACAATGCTTTGAAGTTCTTTTGAAGAGATTCATCTGTCGGAACCATGACATATAGCAAATGCATATTACAAAAATAACACCTACATTTGCATTCAGTAATAATTAATTCAGATACTCTGTTGAAACATTATACAGTAAAAGTACATATTGAATACATACTATATGAAACAAGTCCATTTTGTTCCATTTTGCCTCCCAGGGCAAAATTCTGGAAACAGATGAAGTTGTTTAATTTGTTCTACAAAAAATGTGCAGTGCTTATTGCAATAGTCTAATGAATTATAATTTTTATAAATTTCTGTCATAGCTTGCACCAGAAACAAAAGGTGTGATTCACTGGATAATGGATATTCCCTTTGTACTGTCCGCCAATCTTCACGGTGGAGACCTTGTGGCAAATTACCCGTATGACGAAACTCGAACTGGTATGTACTATAAATCTAAGGCCAAATAGCCTTGGTCAGCTTGATGGCTGTGCTGGATTCTGAATAGCATGCTGAGAACCACATTCCCAACCTGGACAGATTACATTTTACTTTCCATTATTGTAATTAATTTATCTTTTGTACTATTTATAAGTTTTAATTTCCTCTCTCTTTGTCTGTTACTGCAGACTTCCCAGAATAAACTATTTTTTTTCTTTTTAATCAGTAGAGAAGCAGGTTTTTTTTTTCTTTTATGGTATGTTATAGTTTTCTAAACTGACAAAACAATTTTTCCCCTTTTTAAGGCTGGAAGAGCCCATAGAAGAGGAGAGGAACAGAACTCTGGAGTAAGTTTTAGGGCAGGGGTAGGCAACCTTGGCTCTTTTATGACTCATGGACTTCAACTCACAGAATTCCTGAGCCAGCATGGCTCAGCTTGGAAACCTCTCCCTTTCCCCTCAGCATGGGTGGCTCAGGAATTCTGGGAGTTGAAGTCCATGAGTCATAAAAGAGCCAAGGTTGCCTACTCCTGTTTTACGGGCATAATAATGAGGATGAGATACCATTCTTCTTACTTAGTTTAGTACTATTTTCACAAATTATATGTTAATTTAATTTTGTTTTAGTTTTTTTCATGTTTCTGAAACAACTTATTAAGAAGAATATGTATCCTGATATGTCTGCTCTAAATAAACACCAGTGGTCTTCGTATGAAGCTCTTATCATGCATAATCCTGAATATTAAATTATCCAGATCCAGATAATTAAAGTAGGCCTACATTCTCTGTTTTTCTTTCCACCCTCTATTATGTATTTTACTACTGTTCCCCCAGGAAGTGCACATGAATACAGCTCCTGCCCAGATGACGCTATTTTCCAAAGCTTAGCCCGAAGCTATTCATCTTTTCATCCAGCCATGTCAAACCCAAATCGACCACCATGTCGCAAGAATGATGATGACAGCAGTTTCATTGATGGGACAACTAATGGTGGTGCTTGGTATAGCGTTCCAGGAGGTTTGTGTTGCTGAAATGCAATATTTTAATCTTATTTTTATAGTATGCCAGAGTAGGGCTGAAAGTAGAAATCTAAATCAAATATGACTTATTAATCCACATGTTTGTAGAGCAAATAATGAATTAAATCTTGCAAATATCATAGAACTCATATAGTTCTTGCCAGAAGGATTTACAGGCTATTAGTGACATTGTTCCCTTTTCTGTTCCAGGATGATCTAGGCAAAACTTGCCCTTCATAATGAGCTTCCCCAGGTCGTGTTTCAGTAATATATAAACAGCTAGTAACTAAGTGGAGGCCTTAGCGTGCATATACATTGTTGATTAGCATTGACAGGGACCTATTAGCTAGTCACCAATGTTTGTTATTCTTAAATAAACTCATATTCTGTGTTTTTGTATGGAAAGATAGAAATCTCCATAAGCTCTATCTGCTTAGTATTTATTTATTAAATTTATATGCAGCCCATCTCACTATTAAAGCAACTCTGGGTAGCTTACAAAATGAGAACTATGGAAACAATGAAAATTAACAAGGAGCATATAATGCTGACTGAGGTAACTTTACATTCTGTTAGCATTATTGTTCCTATAGTTCCCACAGCTCAGTATGATGTTTTCTGAATGGCATATTTTTTAAAAATGAAATGATGAAGTGATAAGTGCACTAGCAATCCGTGGAAATTATACTGTCTACTTCAATTATATTGTCTACTTCTATCTGTTGGCTGCATTGCTATTTCTTCCATTAAAGTAGCCTAAGCGATGAGATCATTCCTGCTACAATATAAAGTTAGTATAAATGTAGGGCAAATATGGAAGGGAGCTAAGGCAAATTACAGAAAAAGGGAGCAGTGTGGCAAATATATAAAATATAAATACATAAAATTGGAAAATATAAATTTGGAAAGAGTGGGCTAAATATGACTAAAGGCTGGTTGTCTGTATCCTAAAATAGTTAAACAGAAGAACAACATTCAGGAGGGGCAGCCATTTTGTTTATATATGCTGATCCTTTTACTTAACCAGACATAGGAAAACAGGCTGATTTATGCTTAGTTAAATTGCATTATGATGAATAAGTTGTCTAGACTAGATAATTATGTATTCCATTGAATATAAATAATATTTCTATTCTGGTGTTCTATACACAGAGTTGAAAGACTCTTATCTTCTTGTAGTATACAAACAGCATTTTGAAGAATCAATTTGTTTATCCAGGATGATTGTCTGATTAAATCCTATTAAAGTCAGACGGAATTAGATAGCCAATGAGATGAGAGATTTTAATATGAACTGAAAACTTTAAAACTGTGAAAGTTTCTAATTCATATTAAAATTCATTTTAATTTAGTAAATAACATTTGGCCCTTAACCAGCATTAAGAATACACATTCTGTAAAATAAAGAGATTAGCATATAACAATGTGGTACATTTATCAAATCAGTTAATAGACAAGAGACATACCAATATTGATAGAAACTATGTTTGTACTGCAAGATTCTCATGTTCTTGGCTATTTAAAAAGGAAAAATAATAACACTAATTCCTTGTTTGATATTTTATTTAAAATATTTATTGTAAATGCAACCTTTTTCATATTATAAAGCAACAAATTATCATTTGATAAATGTTATGATCTAATTCATTAAATACAGCATTTGTTTTTTACAATTCCATGGATTTGACTTATAAGAAAAAAAAGGAATGGATAAATCTGTGTGTTTTTCCCTCTTCCTTTAACATATTGTTCCAATGTTACAAAATGGTTCCTTGTTCTATAAATTCATGCTTCTTGACACATTGACTGGTGTAAGCAATGTAATATATAGGAAATAAATCAGAACTCATGTTAGTTTGTTCTGTATGTGAAGCAAAAAAACATATTACAATAATTGTTTCCACCCGCTGAAACGATTTATATTCAGGAAAAAAGAAGATACAAAGATTTATTATTTCAGAAATGTTACAAGTGAAATTAAGAGATTTTATATATCTGTTAGTTTCGTCATCATTATTCTTGGTAGGTGGGGAATACATTCCAGCCCATTTTCCTTCCTTCCCTGATTTCTAGCATGATGATATACAGCTATCTTTATATATGTGCTTATACCATAATAATCAGGGACTCATCAAAGACTATGATAGACAGTCTAAGTCTCTGGAAACTACAACACACAGAGGGTATTTTGTACACATACAATTAGCAGCCATCCAGAAAAGGATCAAGAAAAGTCTTTTATTATTGATTCATTATGCTACCCTCTTTTTTGTTTAAACTTGTTGGAATATTCTTGATTGATTTTGACTGATGAACAACTATTATATTGTCAAATATACTAAGCAATGACTTTATCATGGGTAAGTCTCCATCTCATAATTAGCACTGATATACTGTGTTTCTTGAAATTGCACTACTTAAAAAAAAGTCCATTTCAAAATCCTTGGTTTTCAGGGTTTCATCAGTCATGATGTTATTATCTGTTATTAACTCATTTAATAACCTGGAAACAATTGAATTATATCTGGAAATTCTTTGACTCCTAAGTAAGACTTTTGAAGCCAAATGTATCAGCAAAATATATAGACCAAATGAAATATTAAATGTGAAAATTACATACAGCTGTGATTGCAAATCAGTCATTATATTACACTTCAGAGTTTGGTCCAAGAACTTTACCTACCCTCAAGGTCTTGTAAATAGACCATTATATGTATACCTTACCTATTATAATATTAGTTTTGAATTTTCTACAGTACACATCTATTTATTCCAACTGATTCCAGCTAACTATTTCCACTTAACTTTAATTTGATACGCTTTAGAACACACTGCCTATTAAACATCAACTTTTGTATGCGCTATTACACAGGTATGCAGGACTTCAACTATCTCAGCAGCAATTGCTTTGAAATCACCGTGGAGCTTAGCTGTGAAAAATTCCCTCCAGAAGAAACTCTGAAAAGCTATTGGGAGGACAACAAGAATTCACTTATCAGCTACATTGAGCAGGTAATTTTTTCCTGGAGAATAAGGTTAGAACATTTGTTGACGGTCAAGTATTATACTTAGTTTTGGGTGATCATATGGCTCATTGCTTCATCACTTGAACTACAGCTTCATTCCTTCAAATGTGTCCTGTTTCAAACACACAAACATGCAGTTGCTAGGTGATGGTAGCAATTTACTTAAGATGGTACAGATAAGCAAATGAACATAAACATCTGGAAATAAAGCTTGTCTAACTAGTTTTGCTTTTTAAACAAGAAAATGCAGAAGAGAGTTCAGAGGTTCAGGGAGTCAAGCCAAGTTCTTTACTCAGTCCAAAGGTCAGAGTTTCTCGGTGGCAAAGGGCAGGTACTCAGTGTTGCATTTGAAGACCAAATATTACAATTGTATCCCTCATGTTGAGATTTAATGAACTGCTGGAAAGCATAGTGAACAGCTCAGGATGATACATATTTACACATAAGCTAGATCCCATTAAGCTCAACGAATTTGTTTTTGAAATATATATGGTAGGAGAGAAACAAGTGTTAGCATTTCCTTATATGGCTATAATTATACATAATTAGGGATGATTTGAAGTAGACATCAATTAAAGGTTGAAATCAGGATTCACAGACATCATTTTGAACTTTTTATTTATATCTGACTTCAGTTTCTACTTTGGAAAAATAGTTCAAATTAAAAGATTTATTACATTATGCAGTTTAATCCCAAACCTAGGAGAATTCTTCAAGGCAGCTTATTGTGAGGTACCATGATGCAATTGGAAAAACTGCCACTTTGCCAAATAAAATATTCCCAGTGACTAATGAAGAATACGTTTATGTACATTGGAAACATAAAGAGATTTCACTTTTGCTGCAAGAGATTAAACTTAAGTATGAAGAGTTTGATATATCACGAATGGTTAGCTTTTTAAAATTCTTTTTTATATAATATTTTATTAATTTTCCAATTTTACATTTGTGGTGACTGAGTTACAATAGTTCGATAACAAAATCTTAATGCAAATCTCAGGTTACAACATCAAGTATTTTTTCTCTTTTTTCCTTAACATTTACTGTCTCATATTCAGATTAGTACATTTCTAATTATATCAACTCAGTAAAAACATCATTATTATATTTATCAATAGATTTTTAGCTTATACGTATCTTAATTACATTCAATCTTCATAAATAATCCATATTCTGTTATTAATTTTTACTCAATTTTTAATTTTTTTATCAATATTCCAATTTAATCTTTGATATTTATAATTTTCAGACCAAAATTTCCTTTATCTCACTTCATAACAAACTATAATATCCAAAATACATATTTTATCTATTTGAATACAATCTTGTTCTATTTCCTAAGAGTTATCTATTTCCCATCATATTAAATCATCTACTTAATAACACAATATCCCCTTTAATAAATCAAAACCATTATATATATTGCCTGGGTTAATCAATAAATCAAACGTATTCATAATATTTAACTTTCTTTTCCCTTTTAAGTCCAATTTTTAAATATTAAGCCGATAAAATCCTTATTTTCAACTAGTTTCCAAATATTATAAATCTAATAACCAGAATTCCCCTCATCTCAACATCTCCCTTTAACCCTCTAATTGGCAATATAAAATCCCCTCTAATGAGTCAAAATCCCAGTTTTTTCAACCTTATTCTAGCTTTCTTCCTTTGCCAACTAGGCTTCCATATCAGCGCCTTTAAATCATCAAATAGATCTCCCTCTATTCTTACATATGTTGTTTGAATTAAAGGAGACCATTTGATTGCCAGTTTTCTGTAAGGACTAGCCCATTTGTATTCGTTAAATTGTCTCCCTGTTATTCCAGTTCCCCATGTTTGCTGTGGATGCTTGGAAGGCAGCTCCGTCTTCCACTTCTGATTTTCCTTCACTAGGGGACCCTGGAAAGGGTCAAAAGTTGCCCTGTAAGGGCACTGAGCAAGGAGGGGGCCCCTGCTTGATCACAGGAGGGTGGTAGCCCTCCCGCTCGATCCGTGGCAGCCCTCCAAACTGGCGGAGAAAAGACCAGCCATAGCAATATGGCTCGTCACTAGGCTGCAGACAGCCGAAGTCAAATCTACTATCAAGCACTTTGAAAGCAACGCATATATAACTGGGTGAGATCTGATCTTCTCTTTACCCCAAGTACCTTCTTTTCCTGTAAAGGCTGTTTGAAGTATCTTCCGCCTGTGAGGAGAGAGGGAAGGGAATTTCTATCCCACCCTCTAAGAATAGCGGCATCTGACTACCCAGGGGAATCAAAGCATTGAAAAGAACAACTTTAATCTAATTGGATTTATATTTTCCTGAAACTTGGGGACTAAAAATTTTCCTATTTCTATTGGAAACTTTTGTTTTTATCTACAAAAAAGAAATAAAATTGGAAAAAGAATTAAAAAAATTTGGGATTTAAAGAACTCTAAATGGCATTAGTGACATCATGTGGTGAAGCTTGGTATTGCAATTTGTTATTTCCTAAAAAGAGACTTGGCTCAAAGCCCAGACCTAGCAAGACCCAAAAAAGACTTTTCTGAGCTTGGAACCATTTGTGAGAAGATTTAGCTGTAAGAGAACAGCTGGGCAGCAAAATTGGCCCACTTGAACTGTGACTGTAAACCTTTACTGACTTTTACTTAACAAATAACTTTTACTAGAAAGACTATTTATAAATAAGTGAAAGAGATGGATGAAAACCAGGAAAAGATCCTTTCTATGTTGAAAGCAATACATGAAAGCATTCTTGTAGCTTGTGATAAAATAAGACCTAAAATAAAAGATCAAGATGCCAGCTTAGATGCACAAAGCCAAATTTTGACTACAACTAAAGAACCAACAATGCAGAAGATAACAGAAGAAGCGGGACAAGAAAATATGAAGACAGAGGACACAATTGACCATCAAATACACCTGGTGGAAAATCCAGAAAAGGAAGTGACAACATTGAAAATGGAAATAACTTTCTATATAAATCAGAAGAAATTTGAGAAAGAAGTAGAACAGATTGAATTGAAGAGCTTTTTAAAATTCTTAAATGTTGCCATCTACTTACATATATTTTGCAGACTTGCATGCATTCATAGGACTTTCTGTAGTGGGTATATTTTTAGCTATTAAAAATATTTTCCTTCTGAGATTCCCTGTATATACCAATTGTCTACTACAGACATAATGGAGGCTGTGGTTGGTGACAAGCTGGGACCAAGCTACCTTTACTTGTGCTGAGTTATTCTGTAACTCAGAATGAAACAGGAAGAGGAACCTTAAGTCGTTTAGCAAGAACTTGTGTCCTGCTACATCTAAACACTGCCAGTATGGGTTTAATATTAGCAATAGCAATAGGAATAGCATTTAGATTTATATATCATCCCATAGCAATTTACAATACTCTCTGGATAATCTACAATGTAAGCATTATTTGCATATTACTTCCTACAGTCTAGGCAGTGGTGGGATTCAGCCAGTTTGCACTGGTTTGGGAGAACCGGTAGCTAAATGTTGAGTTTGGAGAACTGGCTGAACCCACGTTGCTTCTGGAAGTCCATTCTAGGCCTCGGAGGCCTGGAGGAGGCCTCCCAGGCCTAGAACGGCCCACAGGAAGTGTGTGGATGTCACTTCTGGAAGTCCATTCTAGGCCTTGGAGGCCCAGGCCTGCATCCATGCAGAGAACCAGTCGTTCAGATATTTGAATCCCATCACTGAGTCTAGGTCATTATTTTAGCAAATTTTGAAGGATGGAAGACTGAATCAATCTTGAGCCTTGTTAGGATCAAGATCCAGCCTGTGGACAGACGTAGCCTGCAAAAATGCATTTTAACTACTGCATCACCAGGGCTTATGGGCTATTCTCAACCGGGCTATTCCATCTCTTGCAGTAGAAACAAATAACATGTAATTCTGGTGAGTTGTGGAAAGACAGAATGCTTCCTATGTCTAACAGAGTAATCATGCCCCTATGAAACTACTATTTTACTCACTACATTCTGATGAGAGAGAAATTCCCTGAGGATGGGGGCTCCGGCACAAGTCAGAAAGCTCGGAAGACTAAACCTCTGGTCTTCGTGACTGACCCAGATTGAATCCTCCATTACCATATTTTTCATTTAAACCTTGCCTTCAGTTTTCACAAGTGCATGCCAAAATTGTGCTTCACAAAGATAAAATATTAAGTATTAATATTATCAATAATCTGAGGAACATACAAATAAAGTTAATATTAACCCTAATATTGAACCCCAATATTGTGTATCAAGCTATAATTGGTAACGTTATCCCACTGCAGCCTATTTCAAATTCTAGTAGCTTTCACCAGATATTGTTTTGGACTGTACGGAGCACCTGTAGGAAAGGAGCAGGTAGAGCTGGGTGATGGAGTTAAGTATGTCAACAGCTTAGAATTGTTACATTACCACAAATGGTCCAAGTCCAACCCCTTTTGAATTCCATTGACTCTTATGTGGTGCCAATTCAACATTGAACTTTAGTTGACTAAATTTTTTGTATAAGCTTAAGTATTAAAGCTTTGAATGTATGGTCTTTGTGCCTGATAGCACCTGACTTGTGGTCAAGCAGGAATCTTATGAAGACAAACACTGAATATACAGTATAGAGATATTCATGTGCCTAATATTATATTCTGATGACACAGGTTGCACTTCCTACATGTATAAATCACATATGATTTCACTTTACCTAGCTGTAAGAACCATCTGGCTCTTATAGAAAGTCACCATGTTCTTCCTCCTAAATTTGTCTTAGTAACCAGATGCATTCTGTAACCCAAAGATGACCCTTCTGGGAACATGCCCTCTTAGTTCATGGCACCTAATAACCAGCTCTCAAGAATCATTGTACATTTCTTATAATGTACTTGCTTTCTTCATTGTTCTACAGCTGGAATGCTCTGGTATGTCCCATCCGTGGATTCTCCATCCAATCATGTTGGAGAAGGGGCGTTGTCTTACCTGAACGCCTTTTATCAGCATGATGATGGAGAATCCACTCCCTCCCATTAAGGTCAGTTGGCCCTGGTTCCGATATCAAACAGACGTGTTGGACTAAAGTCTGAGTATCGCCTTAGTCTAAACTGGGGTGCAAATGGCACAGCAAGGGCGGTACTACTATTCAGACTTAGTCTGATTGGAGCAGATAGATTAAGACAACCTCATGAGGGACTAATCAGCACAGAAAACATATTCTTTCAGTAGACAAACTATCTACCTTGTAGTTTTATATTTATATTAAGATTCATTGTGCCAACTTGTATTTAACTCATACCTAAAATTTTTATTCTTCAATTTTTGTTTCTCAGCATGATATCTTTCGGAAAATTGAACAGGAATAGATTTGGTATGGAAGGAGAAACTGCCCAAAGAAAGGTGGAGATTAAAAATAGGCCTCATGCTGAAGATGATGAAAAAGATAATTTCCCAGTGCATTCTGATAGAACAGGCAGCTGGGAGCAACTTGAAACTAGTTACTGATGTATTCTAAAGCCTTGTTCTAGTCACATGATCCAGAATTGTCATATGTAGCCCATATCAGGCTTCCAAGTGCACACATATAGGCATATGGAACATCTGCAAAAACACAAACACATTCAGAGATGCACAAATTCCAGAAAAGAAAACCAACACGTCCACTATATAAAACATTGATAAAGGGTCTAAAAGTAAGTCCTTTGTTGTTTTATAAATGCTAAAAATTATATCATTCCATTGATTGGGATAACAGCTTTATCAGAACTAAGCAAATATATTGACTTCTGAAATGAGATTAGAGTAACCCTTTGAGAACCTAATTCCCAATTCTGTGAATAAGGAAGGACTGTTTCTTGAAATCAGACATTCAGCAGTTGAGTCCAAAGCTTGACAAATGAACCCATTGACTAAAAACTCACCCCAACCACTAAACCACAGAATGGATTTATTCGTGTTAATGGCCATATTTACACAATTATATTTTACGTTCTAAATTGAAAAATACCTTTTATGCTTCTACACACATCCCCTTTGCACAAAATGCAGTTAAATGAGGAAGTCTCTATTTAATGATAGCTTCTTGTTTTATCAACTCACTTTCAAATTCGGCCATGGTTTTTAAAAAATCACAAGTTAAGGTTTCTTTAATTTTGTGGTTTGTTCTGAATCTGGTAAACAGTTCATCAGTTTGAGTAAAATTTGAAACAGGGAGGAGGTGGTGTACCTTAAGTCAGGGGTCCCCAACCTCCGGTCCGTGGACCAGTACCGGGCCGCGGCATGCCAGCAACCGGTCCGCACAAATAAGCAAAGCCCCATCCGCGGGATGCAGGCAGCACACAAAACCACTCACCTTCTGGTCCGTGGAAAAGCCTTTCTCTACGAAACTGGTCCCTGGTGCCCAAAAGATTAGGGACCTCTGCCTTAAGTCACTGTTGACTCCTAACAACTACTTGAAGCAGTCCTTGTGGTTTTCTTTACAAGATTTCAGAAGTGGTTTGCCCCTGCTTCCTTCCTGGAAGTAATAGAGATTTTAAAAATGAAATAAGTATTCAACAATTTGCAAAATATTGCTTGAAGAGGCTCTATATTTAGGCTACCAGCAACACTGTTTGTACTGACAATGATCTGAAATGTAATTATCCTGTACAAACATTTTCTCTGAGATTGAATCTACTAACTTTAACAGGAAGCTAATTGTGGTGAAACGTTCTAGGTTCTTTCTTCTCTTCTCTTTTGTAAGTATATTATTTAGAGATACATCAAGACTTTTTGTGCTTTATTTTTAAGATACATCGAGGAATAAAAGGATTTATTAGAGATCTTCAGGGTAATCCCATTGCTAATGCCACAATTTCTATAGAGGGGATAAACCATGACATTACATCAGGTAAGTATTAATATGTATATTGAGACAGATGATGAATGTTGATACATGGATAAATATAGCAGTATCCTTTTATATTTTCTGTGGGTGGGGTGTTAGTGTTCTCTACTACTGAAGGATGGAAGAAGTGATTTTCACTGCTTGTCTTGTGCAACTTTCCATGCTATCCTTGATGGTCCTGTATTCCTTGCATATGATTTTGGAAAGCAAAGAGGATATCAATAGAAGAATAATTGCAAAAGCAATCTTAGCTTTTTTTGCCACTGAGGAAACCTTCTAATGGCCAAAATGTTCCTTTGTGAATGGATAGGCATTGCCAAAAAGAAAAGCAATGTTTCCACTTGTAACATGTGTGTGTTCAGGTTTTTAAAATAAACATTGGAACTAAAAAATAGCATCATTAGACTTATCTAGAATGAGCCCATTTTCCTGTTTCATTCAGGACGAAATCTGAAAGTTCAGAAATTCAAATCTTTACGCCTTCCTTTAACTATAATTGGAAACTCACAATTACCTTTAATGGACAAAATGTTCAGGATTAGCGGCCTCTTATGAAAATAGATGATATCTGTCAAATGTTGGCCAATGAGGGGAGAAAATTTTGTGCTGAACTCCTATATAAAAGAAAATTAAAATTAAATTTTATTTCAGAACTGGATGAATTCAGATAAAATTGCTTCCTCTCAGTCAGTCAGATCTGCCACATTAAAATTGACATTTGCAAAATTGCACCCCTTTCTCTTATCAGCTGCTTGTTAATCCAGTTTCCTATTTAGAGAAAAAAGGAGCATAAAACCTTTTATTATTTTAAGACATTCATGAGCAAAATTACTAATGCTTATGAATATCTTAAAATAATGCAAAGTTTTATGTTTTCATGCTTTAGGATGGAAAGAACAAAAATATACTATGTTCCAGGCTTTTTCTTCCCCTTTCCAAAGTCACTCTTGTATTTTGCACTTGGCCCCAGTTAATGGATCTTGAGATTTTAATTAGAAAACAAACTAAATCAAACATGTTTCAGTAGCACTTAAGCATGTACCTAAACTTTTTTTAAAAAAATAGTGGCATCTTTCTGTTTCCTTAGCAAAGGATGGTGATTACTGGAGGCTGTTGGTACCTGGAAATTATAAAGTGACAGCCTCAGCATCTGGCTATCTAGCAATCACAAAAAAAGTGGCTGTTCCCTTCAGTCCTGCTATTAGGGTAAGCGGTACCATTTTTGCATTTAACTTATAATGCCCATTCATATCTTAATGTTGTTTTTTAATGTTTTATCTTGTACATCAAGTCTCACAAACTCTGTGAAACATTTTTATTGTTGCTTATGTAGAAGATAAAGTCAGAGTCAGAAAGGGATAGAGCAGAATGGAAGCAAACAAAATATAATACAACATAAGAAAAAAATCAATAGTGCTTTTACAGTGAACAAAAGAAAACAGGCTTTTATACTATGGTGATTAAGGTAAAGCAAACATGACAAAAGAAGAAAAATTCTAATTAAAAGAGAGAAAGAAAGATCCATATAATACCCATAGATAGCAATATAAAACTATCTCAGTCCTTCAAATCTAGACCATGTACAGTGGTGCTTAAAAATTTGTGAACTCATATGAATTTTAAAATTTTCTGCATAAGCATGTCCTAAAACATGATTTGTTCTTCACACAAATCCTAAAACTAAATATGATAATGATTTTAATACCATAGAAATGTTGTGCAAGAACCCGAAGTGGGCAGATTATGCAAGGAAACCACCAACATCCCTGAGTTGAAAGTCTTCTATAAAGATAAATGGGTTAAAATTTCTCCAAGTGAACATACAACAGACAGGTCGAGTTGCAGCTATTATTCATCTATTGGGGGGCAGAATAATAGAATATAGAATAATAAAGTTGGAAGGGACTTTGGAAATCTTCTAGTCCAATGCCCTGCTCAAGCCAAAGACCCTATACCAGAGGTCTTCAAACTTGGCTCTTTTATGATTTGTGGACTTCAACTCCCAGAGTTCCTCAGCCAGGGCCAAGTTTGAAGACCCCTGCACTATACCATTCCAGACAAATGGCTGTCCAGTCTTTCTTGAAAAGTTCCAGTAATGGAGCAACCACAACTTCTGAAGGCAAGAACTGATTAATTATTCCCAAATCAGAAAATTTCTCCTTAGTTCAAGGTTGGATCTCCTTTTAATGATCTTCCACCTATTACTTCTTCTCCTGCCCTCATGTGCTTTGGTGAATAGGTTGACCCCTTCTTCTTCATGATAGCCCCTTAAGTACTGGAAGACTGCTATCATATCATCGCTAGACCTTCTCTTCACTAGACCAAACATACTTAGTTCCTTCAATTGTTCATCATATGGTTTAGCCTCCAGACCCTTTATCATCTTTGTTCCTCTTCTCTGCAGTCTTCCTAGGGTCTCAACATCTTTTTTGTATTGTAGTGACCAAAACTGGATGCAGTATTCCAAGTGTGGTCTTACCAGTGCAGTGTAAAGCAGTACTATCACTTTACATGATCTAAGCAAAGGTTCACATACTTTTGCCATGCATCCATATGTAGCTTTTCCTCAACGAATAAATGAACTAGTGTTTTTCGCTCATTTCTTTAAATGTGTTCACTTTATCTAGTTTTAGGATTTGGCGGGAGAACAGTTCATTTTTTAAGTTATATTTATGCAGAAATATGAAAAATCAAGAGTTCACTAACTTTTAAGCATGGATGGAAAACTAGAAGAACCTGGATTTTACTTAGCTTGGTATTTTCATTATAGAAGGTCCTTAGTTCATTCCTATTTTTAAAGGTTGTTAGCTAAAAGCATTGGAACCTTTCTCTAATTCTCTATTCTGCTAAAATAAATCCTAGATACAAAAAGAAGAGCCTACAGCCCTTATCCCAAAGCTATTCCTACTTTAGTGTAAGATTTTCAAGAGAGGTCAAATTCAGTAAGATTTAATAGGAAGGTGGTGGAGGTAGGAGAATTTTTTTTTTTTAAAAAAAAGAATTGATATCATGAAAAAATATGCTTACAAGAACCTTATACATTTGCTCAGAAGCATTACCCACTATTTTTTAGCAAAATGTATATGATTGCAGACTTAAGTATTTCATTGGAGTCCTCTTCCAATGACCAGGATTCAGGGAGATGTAGACTTAATGCAGAGTTATTAAAATAAGTTACTTATCATTCTCACTGATTTTAGTTCATCTATTCTAAGGCAGATTTTCTAAAATCATCATCACTGTATCTATCTGTCCATCCATCCATACATCCATCCATACATCTTTTCAGTGATGGCTGGGTGATTTGAGACAATGTTATAAGTCTCTAGTGGGTAAATGGACTAAGTCTAGAACAGGGATCCACAACCTCCAGTCCATGGACCAGTACCGGGCTGCGGCATGCCAGCAACCGGGCTGCACAGAAACGGTCCCTGGTCCCCAAAAGGTTGGGGACCTCTAGTCTAGAATATGTACAGTTTTAGCTAATAAACCCATTTTTTTCACTTACAAAATAAGAATATTAGAATTCACGTTTGATTCCTCTTCCTAGGTTGATTTTGACTTGGAGTCATTGTCTGAAAGAAAAGAAGAGGAAAAGGAAGAGCTAATGGAATGGTGGAAGATGATGTCAGAAACTTTAAATTTTTAAGCAGACGTTCTGAATTCACACCTTTTAATCTACTATATGTTGATTTAGTGTAATGTACTGTGAAAAGTCCCAACATTTTAGATTTTGTGTAGCTCATAATATGTAACTTTTGGGGTCGGCTGAGTAATTTTTTTAATAACCTATTCTCCATAAAAGTATATTACTGGAACCTTTTATGTCATATTTGCTGTCCTGCATATTCAACTTGAAGGGCAAATGCTCACAAGAATATGTCCTTTCTCTAATGTGACTGTGAATTTGAGTGTTTTACTATCCTAAATATGCAGGTTAAGTACATTAAAAAGCTATAATAATTAGCAGTCACTTGCAACAACTGCCACAAATATTTGTCCCTACAGGTAAACCTATTTAGATTTTTTTTTAAAAAAAAACAAGCAAACCTCATAATGATACTGAAAATATATGTGATAATAATTTAGTATTGTACATAACAATTATTTTTTGTTCTGTGGAAGAGCCATATAAAATAAGAATCCAAGTACTTGGGTTTTACATATAATACTCATATGGAAATGGCTTCCATTATTCTTAAGAAAAAAAATAGTACATTTTTCTCTTGTTGTGTTTATTAATGTTTTTAAGTAACGTGGTAATCAGATTAAAAATTCTGGATGGCTAAAACAGTTAACATATAGTAAGTGTATATTACTGGTTTCTTGTGCTTGCAATCTATTATTTGTGTTATCCTGTTTTCCAGTAATTGTATGCACTAAGTATGTATGGTTTCCATAAGAAAGTTTCCATATTCTTTGTATGAAGAACAGAAAGTTCCTCCCATAATTGATCCACCAGCTGCTTCCTTTAATATGGATTGGAAATCCAAGATATACCCTTAAAAGTCAAAAATGTAAACATGTTTTCTAGAAGAAGCAATTTCTCTAGTTTCCGTGGAGTTTATTTCCTGGTCACACATCTTGAATTCAACCACTGCTAAAGACAATCATTTGGATTGTAAGGGTACTTCTTCTGAAACAGAGAAATTTCCAGATGAACCATGGTAGTTTAAATTGGCACTAGCATTTAGGGGAGCAACCAGCTTTTCAGTGTAAACTAGCTCACAGAGAACAAAATAAATGAATTTCTATTTTGATGTTTCTTTTTAGGGCTGTGCAGTACTTTAGATTTGGTGCCTCAGAAGTGTTTCAGGATGTGTGGAAGCTCAAATTTACTGCAACACTTTAAGTAGCTATGTCTTATGTGGGGATTTTGTAGCATAGCTGCTTTAAGATGCTCCAAAGAGGGTCTGGGTTTGTGTTCTCCTCTGCTCTGAAGCAATCCCAGCCCTAATTTCAATATCACATATTTTAGTAGCTTGTTGGTGGCTCCTCCCACACTTATACTGTTGGTAGATGACTCTTGTCCTTGTTTTAAGTTACATACATACTACCAGTGAGCAGCAGCTGAATTTGAAGGCACATTTTTACCATATGCGCTTCATACATGAAACATCCCTAGACGAAAGGTGAAGAGAATAAAAGTTATTTCTTTGCATACTGAGTATTCTTAGTTCAGTCTCTGGTGTCTCCAGGATTTTAGATAGCATAATAGTGAAAGGGTCTCTGGAAGAGCTACCCAGTGCAAATGATCAAGAGTGACATCAACTGGACTTTCTGGATTATTTGTAAAAGGTTTATTGAATTGCTAAAATATGCAAGGCTGCAAAACAGTTTATGATGTAAGGAATTCAGTGTTTGGTTTTTAAAAGGTACAAATGATCTTACAATTAAAAAGTCTATTTAATCTGAAAAACAAAAGATTGAAAGAATACCTGAGACCTTTGCTTTCAATTTATCAGGTGCCTTGAGATTTTTTTATCAAAAAGTTTTGTGTCCCTTCTTTTTTTTTTTTCTCTTGGGACAGTGCTTAAGGTCAGTACTCAATATTTTCTTGCTGATGCCATCTTCACATGACATCTATTTTACACAAATGAAAATATAGGGGCTTGTTAAATGCTCAGAAGGAATTATTTTCTCCCTGAGGCCTAAGCATCATTTGGCATTCTTAAACACTGAAGTATTAAGTATCTTGAAGCTATAGGAATGCATACATTAGCCTATCTGTGTAACACATTTAGGCCTCTGGGACTGAATAAGCTAAACTCTAAACCAGTGGTTCTCAACCTTTCTAATGCCGCGACCCCATAATACAGTTCCCCATGTTGTGGTGACCCCCAACCACTTATACATCACCGGGTGCCAGGGGCATGGCCAAAGAAAAGGGGAAAAAATGGCGGACAGCCTTGTTTGGCGACCCCGTGAAATGGTCGTTCAACCCCAAATGGGGTCCCGACCCACAGGTTGAGAACCACTGCTCTAAACAATAACCTAAAACTGAGTAATTGTAATGAAATATATAACCAAAGCAAACCACTTCTGCAAACATCACTGGTTATAAATAATTTATCAAAGAAAAAAGCAATACCAGAAATTGAAGTTTGTTATAAATAAAACCTTTCAAAAGACCCTTTCTTGCCAAACAGGGAAGTTATTTCAGGTTACCCGTTCTCAGGAAAGGAATGTTAGAATGCTTTTTATCTGTGTTCTTCATGTTGAATATCAACTCAAGAAGCCACTGCCAAGAAAAAGATCATAATTCTGGCCTTTTCATTGTACGATTGTGGGTCAAAAACGTTTTGCAAACCAATTATAAAACAGAGTTCTGGAATTAATCACAATAGCAATACACATTATCTGTACTCTCCCAATTAATATAAGTAAGTGGATGGAGAGATGTACATACACTCCCTGATTTTAACAAGTTATCTTTCTGCTTCAGTTTGCCAAATGTAGAATGGGAGTAACCATATTCATTTTAATAGGAATTTGATGATTGCTGAGATAAATTTATAGCTTTAACAAAGCAATTTAAAAACACTATTTAATAGTAATTATCAAGAGTTAAATCTATAATCTACAGTATTTAATTTACTCTGACATTTTCCTAGTAAAGTTGTTGTGATAATTCCAACACAAATAATATTTTGACTACTTTTCTATGAACATCATAGAATTGGATATTGGACATGATAGCTCCAGCTATAATCCTCTCATGAAAAGACAACATCCATGAACAAGTCCTTCCATATTTGAAGCCTCCTTGTTCCTCACAAGTTGCCATTTTGGGAAAGGTAGGCTCCATAAAGGTTTGACAAGCTACAGCAGTGCATTTCCAGGCTCCAATCACTCTCAATAGTTTTTAAAATCCATTGTCTGCAATCTTCAGATCTACACAAATGAAACTTCAAAAGGCAATGGTTTTGTCTCCTCTCTTATGCCTTTGAATCTCTCTCTTAGACTGCCTAGTGCAGTGGTTCTCAACCTGTGGGTCGGGACCCCATTTGGGGTCGAACGACCATTTCACGGGGGTCGCCAAACAAGGCTGTCCGCCATTTTTTTCCCCTTTTCTTTGGCCACGCCCCTGGCACCCGGTGATGTATAAGTGGTTGGGGGTCACCACAACATGAGGAACTGTATTATGGGGTCGCGGCATTAGAAAGGTTGAGAACCACTGGCCTAGTGCAATACTTTTGCAAATTAACTTTGTGGTAATGATGATACTAAGTGGAAGAATTTCTTTGCCTGATGTGGTGTTTTTTGTTTTATTTTCTGAACTGCACTCTACTCCACTCTGGCACTCAGCGGAGCTGCAGCTGCCTCCGGTAGTTCCATCTCTCAAGTGTACAGAAGGAAAAAAAACAGGCTTGATTGAAGTGAAAGACTTGGCAGTTTTAAATGGTGTTGAATATGTCAGGCTTTTGAGTATTTCGCTGTGTTCATCAAGAATGGGAATAGGGCTGGCTTGAGAGAGGGAATCTTTAGGCAAAGGAGGAGGAGGTTTGAGACCTATGCTAAAGCAATGGAAAGGGTGTGGAAAGAAGAGTTTTCTGATATGGGCAGTATTTATCAAGAAACAAAAAACACAATCCCACCCTCTAAGAATAACGGCAACTGACTACCCAGGGGAATTAAAGCATTAAAAGAACAACTTTAATTTAATTGGATTTATATGTTCCTGAAACTTGGGAACCAAAATTTTTCCTGTTTTTATTAGAGACTGTTGCTTTTATCTACAAAAAAGAAATAAAATTGGAAAAAGCATTATAAAAATTTTGGACTTAAAAAACCTTAAACAACATTGGTGACATCTTGTAGCGAAGTTTGGTGTTACAACTTGTTATTTCCTAACAGAGACTTGCCTAGAAGCCCAGACCTTAGATAAGACTCTTCTGACTTTGGCACCATCTGTGAGAAACTCAGCTGTAAGAGAACAGATGGGTGGCATAACTGGCCTACTTGAACTGTGAATGTAAACCCTTACTGACTTTCAGAGTTGTATGTGGGGAATTGCCTTCCTATCTCTTTATTTGAGAAATATTAGTTACTATATGAGACGATGAAATACCTTGGACTATACAATCTTGCTTGACAAATGACTTCTACTATAGATACTATTTATAAACACGTGAAAGAGATGGATGACAGGAAAAGATCCTTTCCATGTTGAAAGCAATACATGAAACCATTCTTTCAGCTTGTGATAAAATAAGACCTAACAAAAGATCAAGATGCCAGCTTAGATACACAAACCCAAACTTTGACTACAACCAAAGAACTAATAACACAGAAAATAACAGAAGAAGTGGAACAATCAAATATTAAGACAGAGGACTCAATTGACCAACAAATACAGTCAATGGAAAAGCCAGAAAAGGGTCTGACAACACTGAAAATGGAAAAGACTTTCTATATAAATCAGAAGAAATTTGAGAAAGAAGAAGAACAGATTGAATGGAAGATAAACATATCAGGGCAATTATGGGGAATTGGAATAATAGGGAGAAAATATGAATACAAATGGCTAGTCCTTCCAAAAAATGGTAATTAAATGGTCTCCTTTATTTCAAATAACATATATAATAATAGAGGAAGATCTATTTGATGATCTAAAAGCACTAATTTGGAAGCCTAGTTGGCAAAGGAAGAAAGCCAGAATAAGATTGAAGAAAATTGGGGTATTGATTTATTAGAGGGGATTTCATATTATTAATTAGAAGGTTAAAGGGAGAAGTTAGGATAAGGGGAATTCTGGTCATTTGGTTTAAAATATTTGGAAAGTAGTTGAAAATAAGGATTTTATCTGTTTAATATTTAAAAATTAGACCTAAAAGAAAAAAATAATTATTATGAATATGTTTGATTCATTGATTAACCCAGGTAATATATACAATGGTTTTGATTTATTAAAGGGGATATTGTATTATTAAGTAGATGATTTAATATGGTGGGAAATAGATAACTTGTAAGAAATAAAACAAGATTATATTCAAATAGATAAAATGTGTATTTTGGACATCAGATTCTGTTATGAATTGAGATAAGGGAAATCTTGGTTACCTAAAACCTGAAAATTATAAATATCAAAGATTAAATTGGAATATTGATAGAAAACTAAAAATTGGGAAAAAAATTAATAGCAGGATATGGATTGTTTATGAAGAATGAATGTAAAAAATAATTAAGATATGTATAAGCTAAAAATTTATTGATAAATGTAATAATGATGTTTTTACTGAGTTGATATAATAAGAACTGTATTAGCTTAAATACGAGACAGTAAATGTTAAGAGAAAAAGAGAGGAAATATTTGATGTTGTAACTTGAGATTTGTACTAAAGATTTTGTTATCGAATTATTGATTAACCTAGCCACCACGTTGCTTTTTAAATACTTAAATGTAAAATTGGAAAATTAATAAAATATTATAAAAAAAGAAACAAAAAATTCAGAGTCAAGATGGAAACATACAAGAACACATACATATTCTAAGGCAGGGGTTCCCAACCAGGGGTGCTCGCAGCCCCTGCGGGTGCGAGATGATATTCCAAGGGGTGTGAAAACTTGGGTTTTCAAAATTATAGTGTATATGCATAATTCGTTGCTGTTATTTTTAACTTTTGTAAGGGGTACGAGAATATATCAGAAGTGTTTTAGGGGTGCGGAGTATAGAAAAGATTAGGAGCCACTGTTCTAAGGAGAGTCTGGGGAACTCCAATTTGGAGATAGAAAACTTCCTGAAAGATGGAAAAGTACCTTTAAATGGTTACATTTCCTATTGAGCTTGATCTAGAGCTATACTGGAAAGGCCAACACAGTGCTGGGCTGCGTTAACAGAGGGATAGAATCAAGATCACGTGAAGTATTAATACCACTTTGCAATGCCTTGGTAAGGCCACACTTGGAATACACATCCAGTTTTGGTCACCACGATGTAAAAAAGATGTTGAGACTCTAGAAAGAGTACAGAGAAGAGCAACAAAGATGATTAGGGGACTGGAGGCTAAAGCATGTAAGGAAAGGCTGCTGGAATTGGGTATGTCTAGTTTAACGAAGAGAAGGACGACGGGGGACATTGTAGCAGTGTTCCAATATCTCAGGGGCTGCCACAAAGAAGAGGGAGTCAAGCTATTTTCCAAGGCGCTTGAAGGCAGGACAAGAAGCAAACTAATCAAGGAGAGAAGCAACCTAGAACTAAGGAGAAACTTCCTGACAGTTAGAACAATTAACCAGTGGAACAACCTGCCTCCAGAAGTGGTGAATGCTCCAACACTGGAAGTTTTTAAGAAGAGACTGGACAGCCATTTGTCTGAAATGGTATAGAGTTTCCTGCCTGAGCAGGGGGTTGGACTAGATGACCTCCAAGGTCCCTTCCAACTGTATTATTATTATTATTATTATTATTATTATTATTATTATTA